CGCTTCTCCAGAGAAGTGTATTGATACTTTAATCTATTCTCAACACGAAAATAGCAATAAAATATCTCCTCTCCAGCGTTACACCTCGAATTACTGAGAGTTTGTTCTTTATCTTAAACTACAAGAAAAGGTCACTATCTAAAAACTTTCTCAACTCCTATGCTTTCTTGACAGTTAGCATATAACAAATGTTATACAAACAAAAATGTTTTACATAATTGAAACAGACGTTGGAAGCCATTTTGAAGTAAAATAACATTGTAGAGATCATTCTTCTAAAGCGTTCAATCTCTTTGTAGAGCAAGCAGACCATTCTTCAAAAGCGCTCGGGGTCTTTATAGAAACCACTTTCCAAAGCGCTGAAGTTTTTGATAGAATATATTACTTGTCAAAGCGCTCGAGTTTTTGAAAAAGGAGTCAATTCTTCAAAAGTACTTAAGGTTTTTTAGAAAAGATAACACTCCTTCAAAATCACCTGAGATCTTGGAAGAAGTAACAACCTACAAAAGCGCTTAAGCTCTTGCAGAGCCTAGTCTTCGATAACACCCGAACACTTAGGAGAAGAAGTTACATTTGTAAAGAACTGGAGCTTTTAGGAAAAGGGGCTGCTTTTCAAGAACTTTCGATTCGTTGAGATAGGTGATAGCCGTTCAAAAGCTCTCGAGTTCTTGGGTCACTTTATTTCTATTCTTCTAATTACAGCCCATTTTATAACGAAATGCTTTTTTTCGCTGTCCTTACTTAGTAACAAACGTGTAGTTAACAAAGATTTTCTGCTCGTCATGCCTACACTTTTTGTTACGAATACGGAAACTGTTATCCAACATTGATATAACTGTACAAACGTTTTGTTCTTGTGATCTTCAGGCTACCACAAATTTCTCACCTTTTCTTTGGCGAACCTGTTTTTTTTATTTTTTATTGGTATAGTTATTTAATATGACACCAGTTTTTGGATTCATAATGTATAAAGAACGTTTCAGTTCTTAAAATATTTCCTTCAAGCGAATTTCAATTCAAGTACGTACAGTGCTCAGGCATATAAACACGAGCACCTCTGAAACCAGTGGTATTGTTCGAAATACCCACAATACTTGCACGTCTCTAGAGCACCACCGAACATGGAAAAGACGAAGCTATCGTGTAGTGATGGGTCTGTTTCCGCTCAGTCTGCTTGTGTTATAATGCAGGTTGATATCAGCTAGCATAAAAAATGAGACAAGTGAACATGTTCTAAAAAAATATATTTTGGGGAAGTTCTGCACGGAAAAAGTGTTCGTATTGTGCTCTTTAGTCATATGCAACTGATTGCATCAAAATGATTCAATGTAAAGAGCTAAAACTTTTCCTAAATTTTACTGATATACAGTAAAAATTGTAATGT